TATCTCTAATGAAATTCGAGAAAATAAGTTTAAATAAAATGCAGGAAAAAATGCGTATAATTTAATATTCCGTACGAGGAAGTCATGTGGTGTACACATCAGCTTTGTTTTTATTTGGCATGAGTAAACGTATTTGATTATCTGTAAAAATTATTCCTAAAATTTTTAAACCGAATTATGCTCCTACTTGTTTGTTATTTTCTTCCTCATTTTCTAAAAGTTACGTAATTTTTTACAAGAAGCAACTAATTCAATATATTTTTTCCCTTCATTTTTAGTTGAAAATACGACATAGTTGACTCTTATTTCCTTTTTCTGAAATTTTCTCATGTCGAGCTAATTCATATGTGTCATTGGATGTATACTGATTTGTACAGTCTATCTTATCTGGATCTTGCAAGTTTTTGCTTTTTGAAAAAAGTAAAGCCAAGTTTTGCAAAGCCCGTTTCTTTACTGCTCGAACTTGACATACCTTTGTCTAACCCTTTTGAGCACAGAGTTGGATGAATCACGAGAACTGTTGGAAATGTACCTTTCTATATTGCCTTCAGTTTCTTTTTGGGGGGGGCGAGGGAAGTACAACATATATAATTTACTCCCTTTTGAAAATTACTTTCACATGATAGCGATGGAAAATGTAAATTGGGTACAGAATTAGCCTTCGGTGCCCTTGTAAAGTTAAGCCAAGCAATTCTGCTTTCAAATCCCGCATGTAATCAGTAAAAAGTGCAAAATAAAGAGAACGTATTCTTGAATTTTTCTGTACTGAAATTATCTGCTGCTTTGCAGTGGACATACCTGGAAAAAGATCATTTATGATGCCCTGACTTTTATTACAGAGCTGTTGTTGGGAAACGTTGCTCTTAATGTAAACACTAGCATTCTTTCCTTTACCGAACGTCTCTGCCCTATTTTTACTTTCTTGTACCAAATAAAAAGGAAGTATTGTAATTGCGAAAAGTTTCAGGCGGCATATTTCAACGAAAATATCCATTTTGACCGCTATCGAATGCAATTTAACGATGTTTTTGCGTGAGATCTTAGTAAGGACGGAAAAAAGCCGTTTCCCCCAAAAAAATTATAAACTGTTTTAAAATGAATTCTGAAGGAATTTTTCGTGGCGTCTGCGCGAACGTATGTACGTTACGTATCTCGCAAACTCAAAACGAGTAGGCTCAGAACTTGAAATTTTGTTATAGGACTGCTATAACATGGAGATGGCACCTCGTATTTGGTGCAATCAGCCGCTACATCAAGTTTCAAAATCAACTTTTAAACAAGTCAGAGGATTCCAATGGGCTTACATCCAGCACCTCGATCTGTAATATCTTTTATTTGTCAAAGAATTTAACTTCCAAAAAATCTACAACCACAAGAGTTAAATACTACACAACACCTACAGTTATATGGATGACCATTACAATTAATAATTTGGTAAAATTGAACACTCCGAGATTATCCGAATTGTCTTACAACTTAATAAACTAATAATTCACCAAATGCATAGACTTTCTAGATCTTCAAATCATTAACTACAAAAAATTTTACTTTTTGACAAAACAAGGAAACTTCAATTTCATACTAACAAATTAATAAATTGGAACTCCAACATATCCAAAAAAGTAATTAACAATACTATAATTATCAAATACAACGAATTAAAACTATGTGCACAGATACAATAGATTTACACGCGAATTTGATCTTATCAAAATTTCAAAAATTCCCTTTCAATTTATCAACCAATGTTTAATTTCTACAAATATAGTACCAATGCAAAACATGAAGTGTCGGGACGGTTACTCTAGTTTATAGGATTTCTCTACAGTAATTGATTTTTACTCCAAATCGAATTGACTAAAATGCTTCATAAGAATAAGTTCTTTGAGTATCAGCATTGGTTCTAATTCCTACTATTCGCGGAAATATTTGGCCTGACTAGAATTGCCGGTTTGGCTTTAACTTATAACTCGAGTAAAGACGAAACACTTTCGTATTTACGTATTTTTATCAATTATGTTCATTGAACGGAATTGAGTTGGTTTGTTCCCCTTGAAAAGTCAACTAATTTCCGATCAATGACAATGATTACATGTTTTAATTTTTCCTTTTACAATTGAAATATTATTCTTCATGATGATTTAACTCCAGTCCCCGTTAAAACATTATTAACATTTTGCTTTCAAATGACTTCAAAACATCTTTCAAAATATAACTTACCAGTATGGATGCACACTATTAAAATATTCTACTTTATTAAATTAAATCCTAATCAGTGATCTCAGTTTCTTGCTCTTATATGTTTGTAAATTGTACATTTTTTTTTTAAAAATGATGAATTATGTTGCTCTTATCTTCCGGTTAAGGTTTTTATGCCTTTAGTAAATCTGTATCAATATTTTTAGAATTATCAAACATTTTAAAAGTTGTTTAAGTGCCGCTAAGCTAATAATTTTTTAGGCTGCCATTGCTTGTTAAATTTGAAACAGCAGACTAGTGGATTTGTTGCCAATCTAGAGAAACTAGCTTCGAACAACAAAGATAACGCCTTCATTTATTTTTGCGATAATCCTATCCTTTCTGAATTTTTCGAGGAAATAAGTGTTTAAGATTTCTTCGTAATTTTTAATACAGATAGGTTGAGTTTTTTTATTTTTGCCTTCTCACGACTGAGAACAAATTAATTGAATGAGAAATACTCAATCGTCTGTGAAAAACGGTTTCTTTTGTTTTGCTTGTTAATTTTTTTATAATCGTTCTAGCGTTAAAGTATTTGAAGAGAACATGTGGCAACAATTAGATAATTCTTAAAATGATAAATTTTGTGCTTCTGAGTTAATATAAGCGAAAATAATATTGTTAAGTGAAAATAGCGCCAGAGTGTCTCTATGGTAAACAAATAGAGTGCATTTTAAAGAATGCATTTATTCTATTGTGGTTTATGCGCTGTCGGCGAAGTAGATTTAATTCAATTCAATAAGTTTAAATGAAATTCAAGAAAAAATGCGTATAATTTAATATTCCGTGCAAGGAAGTCATGTGGTGACATATCAGATTTTTTATCTGTGTATGTGTGTCATGTACGTATATATCTGTGCTTTTGGTTTCTTCTGTTCCATCTATTATTTAAAAAATAAATCGACCCATCTTAACAAAACTGACCAACCCTGTTTGCAAATGGATGGAGCTTTTTTTTCTCCCATCTGGCAGTGCGAGGATCTGCTTAAAGTACATAGATTATAGAAACTGGTTCCTCGGATTCCTACCTGTCGGCGCTTCAGGCTAGTCGCAGATCTGGGTCCTTCGGAGTCGTTTCTTTCTTCGTACTATACACACAGTTTTGTCCTACTCTGGCCGCGGATCTGGCTTCTGCAGAGTCTTGATTATTTGCTTTTTTCGCTTCCTCGGAGCTGTTCCTTTTGAGTTGCATTTTGATTCTTTGAATACTGTGCCATAGTATAACTATGTAGTGTATTATTAGGTATTACCTTTTTTATACAATATTAGTGTTATATTTATGTAAAATAATAAATTATATTTTTATTTATTTATTTATTTTAATAAAATATTTTACTAACGTCTTGTAATCAAGAGCTGTGAATTTCTCTTCTTTTGAATTAGTATATATTTATAAACATAATTTTTTCCATCTAATGTATTTTCCAAGGTTGTAGAACAAAGCGTGGACCCTACCGAATAGAAACCTCGACCGATATTTGGTATCATTTTGTCAAATTAGATTAAAAAGAAAAAAAAAAAAAAAAGAATGGAAAATGCCGGGATTGTCAGCAGACAATTTCCTGTTCTTTGGGATCTGCCTCCAATCTAAAAATTTATTTTTACTCTGTGTTTTACAGTAGCAACAAAATATCAATTATAGTTGTAAAATAATGTAATCTTTAACAAAATTTAGTTTTCGTTATTTTTTAACGTTTAACATTTTTTTTATTCTCGAATTTTATTGTTGTTCTATGCACAGAAAGGTCATTTTAAGGGAATCTCAAAAGTACAGTTGAAAGAAATCAGTCTAGGAAGTGAGCGGTTTGCTTGAGATGATTCTAGCGATCCCACTTTTTGTTCAATTCTTTCTGCTCCCCCCCCCCCCATCTTTGCACACCGCTCTTGACCCACGCCAGTTCCGAGCACATTCATCAAGCTCTCTGTTTGTGAGCGAAAATCGTTAAAAAGTACTGATACACTTCAGCGATGGAACGGTTACCATCTGTTCTATGTAGAAAGGTCTTTTTTAGGGAATCTCAAAAGTAGAATTGAAAAAAATCAGTCTAGGAAGTGAGCGGTTTTCTTGAGATGATTCTAGCGATCCCACTTTTTGTTCAATTCTTTCTGCTTTTTCAACCATACATAAGCAAAGCGATTATTAATAGGAAAGAGTTGTTAGCCCTACGTAATTCTGGCACTTAATTCGATATGATAACGAAATCTTATGCGCCTAATGAAACTTTAACTGACGACGTGTATCTGCTCGTGATTTGAGTCATCAGTCAAAGTGTTTAGCCTTTACTAAAGTATAATTTGAAGGTGATTTCGGACTTCTTTTGTGGTAATTTAAAAATTTTGTTTGAATTTTTGTGGCCGCAGTATACTCTTCAAATGGCCGTTTATTAAAATCCAAACTTTATCACCCATCTCACAAACTATAACTATTAAACGTCACTAAAAATCGTTTAAATTGTAGAAGTGGGCCTGTCTTAGAAAAGCTGAAAGACTGAAAGAGGCTAAAAAAAATAAGGTTTTGAAGCTCCTACAGATGTCTATGATTTAATCATATACAGGTTGCTTACAAATTTTGTGCTCATTATCGATAAGGTATATAAAAAATGTTTGCAATTTATATCTCACTTAAATCTGTTTATATATATAACCTTAAAAATGTTTCCTAGATAGGATAATCTTTTTAATAAAAAAATTCTTATTATATATATACAAGCACTGGTGCTCTGTGCCAGTTTTTTGGAAAGAGGACTTCAGTTTTCATACATTTATGTGAAGTCGAGCCTTTTTTTAATAGGAAGATAAAAAAATACATTGAATACCTGGACATTTTGCATTCGTATAGTGCTTTTCCTCACGTCTTCTTTTTGCCGACTTTCTTTCGCACCTGTAAAATCCAAAAACAGATTAAGTGTAGTTATGATTTAAAGTGTATTTCTGTCGTTCTGCACTTAAGCAGGACGACAGAAATACCGTAATTCCTTACATATTTAAAACGCTGGCTTAAATTTTAAAATGGCGTCATGAATAAGAGGTAGAAAAAGAATCCCATCAAATAAATAATGCAATTACTAAACGACACAGACGCGTTTTTTAACATCCTGCATAAATTTAGATTCCTCGCATGTAAATACATTCACTATCGTGATATCTGATATTAAATTTTAGCCTTAAACAAGCAATTCCCCCCCCTTTCCGAATTCATTTATCATTTCTTCCTTCGAAGTCTTGCTCATGTTTAATTTTCTTTAAATGATTCATTACGAATGTACAGGCATACATCCGCAGTTCTGTACTAAGGCTAAGAACTGCATTTTAAAACTTAGAATGAATTTGGATCAGAGCCAGCCTTTTAACAGAATGATTAATCGAGGGTTTTCTGAGCACTGTTTGTTCCCAAGCTGTACAGGTCAGAAGCCGTGTCGAATATTTCACGTCTGCTTTGTTTTCTTCCGTAGCTGTTTATGTGAAAATATTATCAGCGGACTGTTAAAATATTTCTTTTCACCATTCTCTTCATTTAACGCTAAGAAAGAATAAATAATCTGGAACAATAAATAAAGATTTTAACACATGTTATTTTATTTTAAATCTTAATCAAGGTTGCAATTATGCATGTAATAATAAATTGTTTAGTGATGTGATGTGACGTAGATAGAAGATGAAGACCCATGCACTGATACTTTTACTTCTTTGTATAAAGTAAAGGAAGTACTGCATTCGGAGAAAGATTCCTGGTATTGAATTGCAACAGAAATATTCATTCTGACAGTACCTGAATCCATTTGAACTATTTTGTTTCGTGTACTGTGCGTACTGATAGAATAAAGGACTTTTTCCCCCAAAACGGACTGTAAAATGGATTTAAAGTGCATTGAAAAGGGATTTTTTTTCATGACGTCTGTACGTACGTACGCATGTACGTTTATATGTATCTTGCATAACTGAGAGGAAAAAATCATTAGCCGTAGAACGTTGAAATTTTGTATATGGTTCTGCCCCTAGTTGTACACCTGCCTTTTTTATTGCGATTTACAGAACTCAACGTGTATCTTTCTCTCTCTCCATCCATACACACACACGTAATAAAAGCAAATTTCAGAGAAGTCTTGATTTAGGAACACTGCCACGTGGAAGCGTTGAAATGCTGATTACGAAGATAAGTGATACTTAAATCGGCATGCAAGCCTGAATATTGCCTACGAGCACGAAGGAAAAGAAACCATCGGGTACTTAGGTATTATCGCAACTACCTTGGCGCAGTTTGGTGGATTTTACGGAATAAAAAGAGGATTTACTTTTATTGTAAAATATTATATATTGCATATATACCTTTTCTACGTTTAAACTGTGTATTTATTGCAAAAGATAATCAATAAAACTAGTTACAAATGGTCTTTTGTTTTTGTTGTCGTGGAAATTTCGTAGCGATCGCTCTGACAAAGAATTCGAAGCATTGTTCCTTTAAAGATTTTAAGGCAAAATAATGTATTCCTGCAGAAATTTCTTTCTTCTAGTATAAAAAAATCTTACAAACACAAATTTTAAAACCGAGTTTAAGATAAAAAAGTAATCACAGTTCTTCTATAAAAGCCGCTGGAACTTGGAATACGAAAGAACGCATACGAAAACGACGACATTGGAAACCGAATATTTGTCATGCGACTGGTTGCCTTAATAATTGTTATGTGCATGATTACTAGAGTTTGGCGTATTCTAAAGCTTTGGCGATTTCTAACAAGGTGGTTGCGATAATACGTAAGTACCAACCACTACGCTTAGGCCTTCAGGCTGCCGTGACTGAGCCATGACTACAAGGCTGTGAATGCTAATGAATAAATTTGCTTAAAGCTTTAAGTCTAAACTACATCTTTTTTATTTCTAATTTAGAGTTCTTGTTTGTTTGCTGTCGTTTCCATGAAGTCAGTTAGATAGTACTATGGGCGGTTCAGACCGCCTTAGCTATTTCTAGGGAATTTCCTTTATAGAGGTTTTTCCTGGGGGAGGGCAATCACTAATTTGCTTCATTGCAGCCAAGATGGCGGGGCAGAAGAAGATGGGTTCTGGTCCAAGTTCGATTCCAGGACAGTTTCTGCAGACAGGGTAGGTTCTTGTTTTTTCTGGTAAGATTTTCATCCCTGTAAAATGGTTAGTTTTAAGTGTTCCCAAGATTTTTGAAATAATTCTGGTTGGCGTTGAGTTCGCATAGCTGAAATTTCTGCCTGATGGTCAGATTTTTTAGTTTTAACTTAGCAACAGAATTCATCATTCAGTGAGGCAAGGATGATGCGATTCTTCATTTAGTTGTCTCGCTTCTTTTGGCCAGGGCGTCTGCAGCCTCATTGCCGTCTATGCCGACGTGAGCTGATATCCATTGATGATCCATACAATGATTATTTAGTTGATCGATGTGGGCCAGAGCATTATGTATTTCATGGATCTGTCTTGAATTGCCTGAAGGGCAGCCTGGAGTCACTGAAGATTATTATTCCTTTGTCCTTCTCGGAGTTTTTGAGCTTGATATAGATGTTTACTCTTGTATGGAAAGAAGCTCACAGGTGTAATTTGAAGCAATTTTTCCTGCTCTTATTTTATGTTGTTTAATGCTGCCTTCTGGAAAATAAAGTTTATTCCAACTCCACCGTTAATTAGAGGTTGATCTGAAGATCCATCTGTGAAGACGTAAACACAGTCATTCTCTGAGTACAATTCTGTGGTCCCGATTCCTTTGGCTTATATGTTGATAGCTGGTTCTTTTTTGGAGCATTGTTCAAGACGATTAATAGCAATTGTAGTACTTTGAGATAGCAAAGATGATTAAAGATGGCTTCTGTAGAATGGTATGCTTGTAATGTTCCAGGTCGTTTGCTCTCTCATCTCTTGATCGTACTGCAAGGTGGAAGACCTTTTAAGCCTTGCGTTTCCGCTCCGCAACTGAAAGGTTTTTTTTTTGCTCATGTGATATTCGTTACAACTTCTGATCTTCTTGGTGAATTTGCAAACATTAAATTCTTTTCTGTTTTCTAAGGTCTCCGGGCCACATTCTTGCTGTGATTTCAGATTATTTGTGGATGAGACTGCTCCGGTAATAATTTGGCTTCTGTAGAATGGTATGCTTGTAATGTTCCAGGTCGTTTGCTCTCTCATCTCTTGATCGTACTGCAAGGTGGAAGACCTTTTAAGCCTTGCGTTTCCGCTCCGCAACTGAAAGGTTTTTTTTTTTGCTCATGTGATATTCGTTACAACTTCTGATCTTCTTGGTGAATTTGCAAACATTAAATTCTTTTCTGTTTTCTAAGGTCTCCGGGCCACATTCTTGCTGTGATTTCAGATTATTTGTGGATGAGACTGCTCCGGTAATAATTTGGCTTCTGTAGAATGGTATGCTTGTAATGTTACAGGTCGTTTGCTCTCTCATCTCTTGATCGTACTGCAAGGTGGAAGACCTTTTAAGCCTTGCGTTTCCGCTCCGCAACTGAAAGGTTTTTTTTTTGCTCATGTGATATTCGTTACAACTTCTGATCTTCTTGGTGAATTTGCTAACATTAAATTCTTTTCTGTTTTCTAAGGTCTCCGGGCCACATTCTTGCTGTGATTTCAGATTATTTGTGGATGAGACTGCTCCGGTAATAATTTTTTGCTCCTGCTTGTATGTTATTGAGCTTTCCTAATGTAGATTCTGAAGCGTATGACCAGACTGATGTTACATACTCTATGATGGGCCTGGTAAGAGCGGTGTAGATAGTTTTTAAAGTCTTGGTATTTGGTCCCCAATCGGTGCCACATAGAAGTCTAATTTTCAGGCTTCAGAGTGACTTATTTATACATTTCTTGACATGTTCAGTAAAACGTAACTCTGCGTCCATAACTAGTCCTGAATAGACTGGGTTTTCTATCTTTGCAAATGTTTGTTTAGCGATAAATTTGGTGAGAAGAGATGTCTATTTTTCCTACCAATGGGAAAAAACGCTGCAAGATGATTTCTGTGGGGTAATTTTCAGTTTAAGGTATTTCGCTCATTTCTATATACCATTTAGGATTTCTCAAATTGATTTAGTTGCATCATTGTGCCATATGGCAATATCATCAGCATAGCACCGTACTTTTATATCTCTTTCGAATGTTGTTAACATACATAAGAAGCAGCAAGGGACTAAGAACAGGTCTACCCTAGGTCTTTTTGATTTTTTGAGTTGACTCTATTAAACCTTACTTTGATTTCTCTATTTCTGAGGAAGTCAGAAATCCATATAAGGGCATTACCTTGTGCTCCCATTTCATTTGCAATTTGAATCAGTTTATTTCTTCAGACGGTACCGAATAGTGCGTTAAGTCGAAGAAAACTGTAGTTTCCTTGTATGGCTATGCTTGAGGACCATCATTAATTGATTGACAGAGATTTAGGGTTCTAATCAGGATATTTAATTCACATAAAGCATTTAAAGCTCCTTAAAATTTTAAAAATGACACTACAATAAGGTTGATTGAGACTTCGAATTTTCTAAATATACAGCTGTATCACTGGAGGGAGGGGGGAACTCGCATTTAAGAAAACGCGAAGTTTAAAAGAGCTTTTAAATAATTGTTAGTTTTAGTAAAAATAGAATGTAAACGAACCTGTGCAGTTTTCCTTTCCTTTCTCTTGCTAAATGGCTTGGTTGTTCTGATTTACAGACCTTTTTTGAGCAAACTACATTGGCAAATCTATTTATTATGTTCAAATGATAAAGAGAATTTTACTCGTGCTGTTTTAAGACAGTACCTACAATCGCGAATTACAGAAACACATTCCAGATTACTATTTCCCTAACAGAAATATGATTCAAAAGCATCATGTCTAAGTTTCAATGAATTAGCATAAATTTCTTTTAAAAAAAGTCTCCTTCTTTTTAAAAGAAATTTATGCTAATTCATTGTGAATTTCGTCCTCAAACTGCTTTAGATACGAAATTTTCAAAGAAAAGTTGCAGCATGAATAAAATAATAGTTATTCTTAGAAGGAACAAAAGCGTAATGCTGTAAGCTCACTAGTTATTTGATAAGCATTAATAAGCTTCCCTGCATGCGAATAAGCTCTAACGGAGAGAGTTTTTACCTTTCAGTAAAGTCCATGTGCGGGCAGAATAATTCTGAATCTTGGCCATTATTTTGTCCAGATCTCGATAATCATCTGAAAAACAAATTAAAAGTAAATTTATTTCTATATAGTGAATAAAATGTTATTGATCAAGAGACTATAGAAAAAAGTATTTATTTAATTTATGGAAGTATATTCATGCTATTGTAAGATTTTTATCTAGGAGAGGGAGAAAGAGATAGAAAAGTGCTGGGGAGAAAAAGTAAATTTCCCCGATTTTTTCAAGTACATCATCTAAGCTATGTTTCTAATGCCTTCCATACTGCAGATACAGATGTATGTAATATAACATGTGTTAGTATGGGAAACAGTAGACTTTGCAATAGTCTTTTTTCCTAATCTTTTCTCTTACAAACCTGGTGTGTGATAGAACTACTTTTACACGAAAGCAGAATATTAAAAAGTTTCGTTTAGTTTTTTCCCCACATTTATGTTATAAATGCTACAAATAAAACAAGATAAAATACGTAAATTTGACCAGTTTGAGTTATATCATTATTCAATAATCAAGGCTCAGAATTTTAAGTCATAGCTTAGTTCTTTTCTTGTAATTACCAAAATTTGACTGCGACTTAAAATACCGTAATCAAAGAACCACTGTGCAAAAATTTCAAAATTATATTTTCTGCGCGTGAAATCACTCCGATTTGAATAGCAGCAGTTCTACAAGAATTACTGGTTCTTTGGAAACTTGTGCTGTTTCCAAGTCTTCGAAACTTTCTTTACCGATATCTAAGAAGTTGTACTATTTAGAGTAATTATGTTTTCTAATTTTGCCCATTTTTACTTCCTTGTACGAAGTAAAAAGGAAGTATTGTAATCGCGAAAAGTTTCAGGCAGCATATTTCAACGAAAATATCCATTTTGACCGCTATCGAATGCAATTTAACGATGTTTTTGCGTGATATTTGTGCGTAAGGACAGAATAAAAGACACCTTTCCTCAAAAAAATTTATAAAACTGCTTTAAAATTAATTCTGAAAAGAATTTTTCGTGGCGTCTGTACGAACGTATGTACGTACGTATCTCGCATAACTCAAAAACGAGTAGCCTCAGAACGTTGAAATTTTGTATATAGGACTGCTATAACATGAAGATGTGCACCTCGTATTTTGGTTGCAATCGGCCGCACCAAACGTATATAAATATATTTATATATATATCCACTCTGTTACCCGGCTCAGTGATCTCAGTTTCTTTACTCTTATATGTTTGTAAATTGTACATTTTTTGCTTTAAAAATGATTGAATTATGTTGCTCTTATCTTCCGGTTAAGGTTTTTATGCCTTTAGTAAATTTGTATGCAATATTTTTAGAATTATCAACAATTTTAAAGTTGTTTAAGTACCGCTAAGCCTTTTTTTTTATGGCGGCCATTGATTGTTTACATTTGAAACAGCAGACTAGTGGATTTGCTGCCAATCTAGAGAAACTTAGCTTCGCAACAACAAAGATAACGCCTTCATTTATTATTGCCAATTAAATCATGTTTAATCCTTCTGGAATTTTTTCAGGGAAATAAGTGTTTAAGATTTACTTCGTAATTTTTAATATAAATATTTTGAGTTTATATGTATTTTTGCCTTGTCGCGAAGTGAGAACTGAACTAATTGAATGAGAAATACTCAATCGTCTGTGAAAAACTGTTTCTTTTTTGTTTTGTTTGCTTAATTTCTTTTATACATCATTCTAGCTTTATTATAGTATTTGAATAGAACATGTGGCCCGATTAGATAATTCTTTTCTTTAAATGATATAAATTTTGTGTATTCTGAGTTATAATATGAACGAAATGTAACACTGTTAAGTGACTCTAGCGCCAAAGTGTCGCTATGGTAAACAAATATTAGAGTGAATTTTAAAGAATGCATTTATTCTATTGTGGTTTATGCGCTGTCGGCGAAGTAGATTTAATTCAATGCAATAAGTTTAAATGAAATGCAAGAAAAAATGCGTATAATTTAATATTCCGTACAAGGAAGTCATGTAGTGTACACATCAGATTTTTATGACTAAAATACGACTTATGCTTCAAATCGATTTGTCGCTACTTACGTGTTAACGGAGAAAAAAGTAAAATTTGACAAAAAAAGAGCGAATAGCTGCCAACTTTGGCACCATAACACACATTAATCGTTATTGCAACCGTATCAAGAACATCAACAAACCGCAGTTTTAAAGAACCTTTTTTCCTACTTCTTTTTTCTGCGTTTTTCCGTAATGGTCTGATAGGAAAGCAAAAATTAATACAGTATTTGGTGTGTGCATGATTATTTTTTTACCAATAGTGTGCTTGTGGGTTTTCTAATTGGCGAAAAATTGCTTATGAATATTGAATTAACACGCGTGTTACTTCTTTTCACTTAGAATTGGAGCGGTAAATTCTCAGTAATGCAATAAGGCAGTTTTTGTTACATATTTTTAGAGGTGATACTTTAAAATCTCCAATCAAATTTCTTTGCATGTTGATGTACTCAATTTAAATACAATTTTTAGACAGGTATTTGACAAAAGATTGCTATTTCTTAGGCAAGCAGATTTTTAAATATTTTGCCAACATTTTTCAAGCTTCGAAAATGAGAGCAATGAAAAACAGTCAGAGTCTGAATCATTTAGCAGTCAGCTGGTTGGTTCTGTTTGCACCTGCTGAGTTATCATCAACATTGAGCAGTCAAAAAATATTAGTTCTCTCTCTTGCACTCGACGCTTTAACATGAATATTAATACGTCAAAAAATTATTCGAGATACTCATTGCGGTTTGAAAACAAGGGTTTTACAGAACGTTTACAAAAACGTTAAAAAAACGTTTTACAGAATACAGGTACACTGCGAGGGAGGAAAAAAAATTGGCATAGTTCTATATCTTCCGTTCTACTGGGCCGATTGACGAAATTCAAATTGCTTTTTTCATGTCTCGAAAGTGCAACTTAGGATATGTATTAGATTTATATATAGCATTGTTCTAACATAGGTACATTGACAGAAAAATGGGACTTTTTCTGAAAGAACAACAACATTTTTTTTTCATATTTCATTTCTACGACTCAAATTATGCCTAAATATTAAATTTTGTAAAATTTGGTGCGAAATTTACGCAGAAATTCAAAATTTTATCTTGGCGCAATTTTTTCAGTTTCAGCCAAGAATAATTCCCTTGGCGAACTTCTTAATATATGGCAACCTATTTTTCTTTCCCTTCCATTATGCAAGATGGGAAAAAAAGTCACATCGTTCCCTACCTTTTTACATTGTGCATGAGCGGAAAAAAGTCAGCGTTCCTACTTTCAAATAACTTTAACAAAGTGCCTAAACTACGTTTGATGTAATTATCGCTTTTAACAAATATGCCAAATTTCATAACACGCCAATATAGTATAAATTTACTTATATCTTCGGTAATTTTGAATAAAAAACTTAAATATTTTGCTGGTATGCTTAGAAATACGTTTACTTTAAGACGATGGTAAAAATGTTATAGGTTAAATGTTAATGGTAAAAATGTTATAGGTTATAGGTAAATTATTGAATTCGTTACAGAATCGAGGGCTTATTAGAAAATAAAAACTCAAAAATAAAATTTCAATTCAACAGCAATATCGCATGAGTATATCTTTAGAATATCCGATATAGTCTCGCACGCTGGAGATAAAAATGTTTTTCTTTTTTCCCCCGTATAGTGTTGCCATTGCTCGCTTTGAAATCGTCGAGTTTGTTAATCAAAAATTCGTTAAAGTGTTACAAAATATGAAACCGATAATAAAACAAATTTCAAATTCCAAATTCAGTCTTCCAGATGCCCATATTCAAGTGAAGGACTACGTTATTCAAAATTTGATGGCTCTAGATACCAATGTTTTACCCCAATGCGACAAACATAGTCAGATTCTTCATTATTTAATTTCTTTAAATATAACACAGGGACTCTAATATTTGGTGGCAACAATTTGAAAAATGAACAGACATTTATTTGAAAAGTGAACCAACGCAAAATGCGCAAACGAAATTAAATAGGGGCTAACGTTCGCTGGGCTAATAATAATTTTTAAGCTGAATAATCTCTGTTGCAATGAAATATGACAAATGGAAAAAAAAAAAGGCCCATGAGCGGCCGAGCGATAAAGACCCTGAACACTGCTAGTTCAACCTGAGGCACGTTTTCCACAAATGGGCTGGCTACATGGGCGTTTTCGTGGTTTTTGCGAAGTGTATCGTGTTAATACAAGCCACTTTCCCTTTGAAAGTCGTCCACGTAGGCATTCCTCCCTTCTGTGTAGTGCTTTAGGGAGAAACACGTAAATAATAATAAGTGAAAAAATATAAAATTTCTTTTATTTCAATAAAATTACAATGAAAAAATACCTTATTAAACATGTGGTATAAGGTATTTCTCCCACTTCCCTAGCGTGCCTTCGTGGTGTAGTGGTTCTGCACACTGGCCTGGTATTCCAGAGGTCCGTGGTTGGATTCCCGGCGAAGGCGGTTGCATATTTTTCATCTTTTCTGCTTCCAATTAACCTAATGACTCTACAAGTGACGCCCTGACTAAAGGGTTGTGGATGATGATTCTCCGCACCCAGGATTTAGCCGTTGAGTTCCCTAAAAACCCCTAGTCGCCCTTTTAAAAGAGAGAGTATATAAGGTATTTCTTCCGCCTTCCCTTAGCATACCTTCGTGGTGTGGTGATCTGCATGCTGGGAGCTGGTGTTCCAGAGGTCCGTGGTTCGATTCCCGGCGAAGGCAGTTGCATATTTTTCATCTTTTCTGCTTCCAATTAACCTAATGACTACAGTGGTACCTATTTTACCGCAGTGTTTCGAACATCTGAATAGACAGCGGTATCCGTTAGTTCAAAAATTTGTTGTTCTGTTGCACAACATATGTATGTATGTTTCTCGCATTGTGAAAAACTGCGACACACCAGAATCTCCGCTTTCAAACGTGTGTAGCCATGTGTGTGAACATGTGCATCTCGAAGCCTGAATTGTGTGTTTTTTATTTTATTATTTATTTATTTATTTATTGCGCATTTTG